GTACTGTGTGCGAGTCGGTGAGTGAGTGAGTGGGAGAGGAAAAGAGAGAGAGAGAGAGGATGTAAAGCTAACTGGAGTGAATGTGTTTGCAGAGAAAGACACACACACGCACATAAACATACTTCAAAGTTGGTGGAAATGTCAGTCGCACTGGTGCACTGCTCGGCTGAACATCACCTAACTGACGGGAGTAATGTACAACAGAAGCTGTTCGCTTGTTGGCCACAACTCGTTCCTCTCTCCGCTGACAGCTGCTGTCCACTGTTAGAGTAACAGTGGCAAAATATACTGATATTACAACTGACATCGATTAGATCAAGTGCACCAACAGCAACACCAGCAGTCGCGTGAGTTACTGTCCTGCCAAGAGCCTCAGCCTGCTTCACTGCACCGATATCATCTCAGTGAAGCGATGACTGCCAAAACGAAAACAGCTTCATCAAAATTGGCCTTCTTAAAACCCTTCCAGGCGGGCACTGGCGACTGGAGAACTGCCTCGACGAGAGGACAGCAGATTAAACAGCGCGCCAACTCTCACCGCCGACCGGTGGCCGAGGAGCCAGAGGACTCGCTGCAGAACCAACTGCTCTTTCACACCATCTGCGGCGCCTCTAACGCCTACCAACTGCCCGGACCGCAGAATGTGTACTGGTTCGTTCTGGAGGAGTCACTCATTGACATGGTGCAGAGTGAAGGTCGCCTGGAGGAGGGCAAACTCCACAAAACGCATGAAATTGTTCGAACCCTCATACTGGACATTGACTTTGGACCGCTTGTTTTTGGGAGGTTGAAGGTAAGTAAAAATGTTGTGATCACTGTTAGTTTAGTTTTTAATTATTTTCAACAGACGCAACTTTTACCCAAGGCAATGTCATTGCTAAAGGCAAAGGTCGAAGAGCGGGCACCAACTACCGGCTACCTTTTTGCCATTGAATCAGTGTGGAGACTGTTTTACGGTCAGATTCTGCCTACTTTAGAATGTATGCTCTACTTGATTGAAGTAGGAAAATATTGTTGAAAATAGTGAAAACAATATCAAACTTACCGCCTTCATCCTTTGCAGTCACCAAAAACAATCTCCATTCGAAAAGCAGCCATTGTCGCCTTTCGAGATCACCTTTTGCTTGGCGGCACATTAGAAGGTAAGTAGAACAAGGCAACAAAACAAAATCAAAATTTAAGGAAATCATAAACAGTGAGGAGAAACACACAGGAAAAGATAAAACTTAAAAAGACGAGATGATAATCAACAGGTGTGATAAGGGGCAAACTAAACACACTGACTCTACCTATCGGAGAAGAAATGAACTCTAATTCAATTTTGTTTTCTGTAGAGCACCTCAGGCAGCGTGTGGCCAACAAAAGGGCAATGAGCCCCACAATTCGACAAATGGTCCTGGTGGTTCAGGTAGGCATTTCATGCTATAGCACACATACAATTCAAATCAAAATTGAGCACTTTATTTTTAGAGCGTCTTTGAGTGCTTCCCACCGAGCAAGAACAAATTGGAGATGGAGAGCCTCTGCGCTCTGGTAGTCTCGCCGTACCTCGGCTACCGAGGCCTCTACGTCGACTACCAAACTACCCCGGTGGTCAAGTCTAATGAGCCGGAACTCGCCCGAGCTGCCCGAGCGAAGGCACTGCTCGGTCTGCCCACCTCGCCACCTCCACCGCACTCCCTTGGCTACCGGGGCTCACTGGGGCCACCAGCCCTTCGAAAAACCTCTCCCTCCCTTCAACCAGTCCTGGAGCGGTCCACCAGTCCGGTGAGGTCGATGATGATGACTGGTGGTGGTGGTCACCCGGGTGGTCACACGCACAGCCAGTCCAGCCGACTGAACTACCTCATGGCTCGCATCTACAAATGAGAAACAGGACATGAGTGTGACATCTTTGGAGGTGATTCAATTTATTAAATTGTTTACAGGACCTAGGACCAACGAATAAGCAATTGATTAGGAGAGGCGGTGTGTACAAGATATAAGAGCAGTTCGTATAATACACTTCATGACAGAAGAGGGAGAGAGAGAGAGATGAAGGAAAGAACAGCAGCAGTTCATTTGAGTCCGGTGTGGGCTTACTGGCTTTGTTTTCACATCACAACATCAGTGAACAGAGAGCGTCTTCTCGGCCGTCTTCCGAGCCGCCAGATTCGGCTCGCAAGACAGCAGTGTGTGTATTTGAGAAACATAAGTTGAAACTCATACAAACAATTAGTTAAAATTAAAAATATCGTGTGAGTTTAGAATGTGTGTGTGTGGTGTGCTGGTGTCTGTTGTACAACAAGGAAAGGAAGAAGTAACAGAGGGGGGAGAAGGAGGAGGAGTTGTGTCGGTGTGTCTGCCAGAAGAATAAAGTTAAAATTGAAACATGAAGAGTTAATTAAAAAAGAGAGACTACGGCTACTAATCCTATTTATAGATGAGAGGGGATGGATACTTAAGTGGTGAAGTCTAATTGGTGGCGCACTGGACGCCGGGACCGGCTCCGTGGTGCATATCACCGTCCTCCTCGTAAGAATCGTAGTCGTGGCGGTTGGCCCTTCTCTTCTCCTCCTCTTCGTGGCTGTAGTCGAGCAAGTTCACCTCCTCAAAGTCAGTCGCGGGAAGATCCAAGTTCTTTGGGCGAGGAGGCAAGAGGCTCTCAAGACTGGGAATAATAGCCGGAGACAGCTTCTCGGGAAAGTCGACAGTAAACTGGACGATGAGTTTGCCCTTCTCAAAGGGGTTCTTGTAAGTGGGCATGCCCTCACCGGAAACAAACTTCACTGCGCCATGCTTGATCACCTCACCGGGAATGATGGTCAGCATCAGCGTGCGATTGTCCAGCGTGGTGATCGCCTTCTGAAAGCCACAGAGCGCCTCAGTCAGGTTGATATTGAGGTTGATCATCAAGTTGATATTGCTAACACGCTTGAACGTCTCGTGGCTCTTCTGCTCGAGCATCACCACAATGTCGCCGGGCTCGTACGCCGGGTCCTGGTCGGCCTCTCCGGTGAAGCAAATCTTCTGGCCATCGAGCATGCCCTTGTCAATGTGCACCTCGAGAACTTTCGAGCTCTTCACTACCTTCTCGCCTTGGCAAGATTTACAACGGTCCTTCGCGGCAATCTTTTCACCGGTGCCGCTGCACTCGGGGCACATGGTCTGAATCTGCTGAACAAAAGAGCTGCCCAGGCGCTCAATGCGAACGGTCATTCCGGTGCCACGGCAGGAGGTGCAGGTTTCAGGGCCAACACCGGGGGTCTTTGTGCCAGAGCCTTTGCAGCCCTCACAGATTTGTTTACGGCTCACTTTTAGCTTGCGAGTGGAACCGTTGTACAGCTCCTCCAGTGAGACCGAGAGGGAAAAGTGCATGTCCTTGCCCTTGCGGGGGCCGTGATCACGACCTCGGCCGCGGCCACCCATGTTGAAGAACATGTCGAAGATGTCCATGGGAGAGGAACCACCGCCCATGCCGCCCTCCTTGATGGCCTTCTCGCCGCCCATGTCGTAAAGTCGACGTTTCTCATCGTTCGACAGGACCTCGTAGGCCTGGGAAATCGCCTTAAAGCGCTCGCCTTCATTTGGATTCTTATCAGGGTGGAATTTTAGGGCCAATTTGCGGTAGGCCTTCTTGAGGTCATCAGCTGAGCAGTTAGGTTTCACGCCAAGAAGATCATAGTAGGCTGTTTCTTTGACCATGGTTCGTCAAGCGATGCGCGTCAGGTAAAAGCTGGAGCGTCCCGGTGGAAGATGGAATTGCAGAGGGAACTGCCGGGGAGTTTCGCTGATAATTTAGAGACACACACGCAGCAGCAGCAGCCAGAAAAAGTTGACTGTATCCGCGCTGGTCGGGTGCTAGCGTAAAAAGGAACACAGGGAAAGAGGAGAGACACAAAGGAAAAAGCTGCAGCTCAACTTGATGGCTGTACTTGAGTGAGTGTGCCAGTGAGTGACGGTGAGCTTGCGTCTGTGCCTCTGCACTACTGCTTCTAGATCTTTCCCGAACTGGGCGACCAGCACGTGGCTGAGGCAAAGTACTGCTGATGTAACCGGGGGTGGAGCGAGGGAAGCAGTGCTCACAGCTACAAAACAAAGCACTCTTCAGAAGGTGAGCGGCCGAGCACTTTAAGATGCACTGTCGCAGTGGTAGAGGTGGCAGCACTGAACAGCGCGGTGGAAGTAATCTCTTGAGGGTTTTTAGACGCGTAAAGCTCGTCAGTGTAGCAAAGACCGCCCACGTGCAGCCGCGTCTGCAACGGTTGCGATTTCGAACTGCGGCCGTCAGCTTCCCTTCGCAGAGAGCGTGCAACAAATCATTTTTTATTTTTGGCACGCCTTGCACTGCAAGTGCAACCTTCGCGAAGCTATACTTTTTCGGGTTTCATTGATAACAATCGAAAAGCCGGTGCTAGATAATTGAAGACAGCATCATCGTGTCCAGCACCAGCTGTTCAGAACAATAGATGGTGAGGTAAAACGCACCACAGCTCGAGCTTACTCTAGCTACGCATGTACCTTTGCAGCAGCTGCTGCTGGTTGTGCTGATTGTGGGCAGCGACCGCCTCTGTAAAGATTCAAAGTACAGTAAGATGCCCTAGTTCAGTGCAACTGTAAAATAAATCTGGTATCGGCAATAATAGTTTAGGAAGTATGGCTCAAAAAAGCACACAAGCAGGAAACGAGGACACTCCTACACTGGGCAAAATGACAAATCAGCCGGCAAAATCAGCTGTTTGACCACGAGGTTAAGCTCATTGGCTTGCAGACTTATTGGCACTCAATTTTATTGATCAAAATGACTTATTTACCTGTTACACGATGTTTAAGAATGCTTAGCAACTAAAACCTGCACAAAGCTCATCACATTTTTATCAAGGACAGATCTCAAAGATATGCCGACTTGGACTGTCCTCTACGACTGACTCCGAGAGACACACGTGCAGCGAAAATTCGTAAACACGCCGAGGCGGTATCCCTTTGCATGCTGGATCCCTATTTACCAATTAAAAGTAACCATGAAGCCCAAACCGACCTCGCACAAGGCTACCAACACCTACAAGGTAAGAATGAGCTATAGGGAATACTAAATGTCTAATAAAAACAATTTTGCTCTAGTTTGAGTCATTTCACGAGAGACTCGAGAAGATAAACATATCGACAATCAGTCATCTGAAGCGTCGATTTGATGCCGACGAGGCCGATGATAATCTACCATTTTTTGCCCTTGCACTGGAGAAATGGAGCGATCTCAATTGTACGCAAGACTACCAGGATATTCAGCAGCGCATCGGCAGCAATCTCAACTACCAGAACCTTAGACAGGTGCTTCACCGAAAGAAGCAGACTGCTGAAATTCTGATTGATGGTTTAAAGGTGCCAGGAAGCAAAGCGCTGAATGCCATTCTCGAGTTGATCGTTGCTCTTGCTCGTGATATTCTAGATGAATTCTATGAACTGGAAAAAGGAGCTTACTTTGCCACCATCTTGGAGCAGCTGGTCAGCCTAACATGTCAGGCAACAGAAATCGAGGACATTGAGGGGCTCTTCGTCTGTCAGACCTTTCTCTTCAAGTACCTGCGAAAATGGATCATTAGAGACATTGCTAAACACTTTGTCCTTCTTAAACCGGCGCTGAAGTCAAAGAAAGAACATGTGCTAAACTTTTCCAGCGAGGTTTTTGCCTTTCTGGTGAAAAATGCCAAACAGCAGGCGGATTTGATTCAGCTTTTGTTCGACAATTTAGCAGAAGACTCAGACCTTGATCGTGCCGTCGGTCGCATCCTTTTTGAATCCGTCAAAGGCGTCAACCAGCAGTATCACAGCAAAGCAAAACAATTGTTCGATATCATTTTCAGCAAGTTCGTTCACTCTACGGGAAACCACTTTGACGAGATGATGCACTACTTTCTCGTCTTTTTGCTGGAGTACTCATCCAAAGACAGTTTCCGACTTGTCTGGAACTACCTTCTTCTAGACAAGGACAGATTTTCAAGAGAATGTCTTAGCAAAGTGATTCCTTTGGTCAATGTGGCTGTTACCTTTCGCCGAGGAAAACTGCTCTCTGACAGTTCTCAAAAGTTGATAACACTGACAAACTACCTGTCTTTTCATCGCCTTGATTTGTCCACGACTTCAACAGTGCTCGATTCAATTGAGAACATCTTCAACAATCACGACAGTGAACTTTCTCTGGAGAAAGTCAACCAATTTTGCGAGTACTTTTACCAGTCTGCTTACACCTCTTCAACGTTATCACTCGATCAGATATTCACCTTTACCAAAAAAGTCTTCAGCTGCTCAATCTTTGACATTGTGCTGAAGCAGTACTGCTGCGCTCTCTGCTCTACTGTGATTCAAAAGTCTTCAAATAGTGATTCAAAAGTTAGCTGTTTTCAATTTTTAGCCCACCTTCTCGTAGTCAAACGTCCGAGGCCAGTGTTTGGCGAAGAGAATGACCGCCTCCTCACGAGGTACCAACTTTCGTTTGAGAACAACAGTAAAATTGTTGAGGACGCTGTTCTAAAGCATTTGAGCACTACTGCCAACCCCGAAGAGATGCTTTACTGTGTCATCTTGATTCCTCACCTGCAGTTTTTGCTGGAAAAGACAGCCTCCATTGGCAAAGCAATCTCAACTGTAGTACTAAAGCAAACAGAATGTTTCCAGACTTCAAGTTTCCTGATCGGGCAACTTCTGTTTGAGGCCATCGTTGCGCTTGCTCTGCTGAAGGAGGGAAAACAGCCCATTGTGGAGATTACTGCCGAGTGCATTATTCAGTTGTTCAAGTAAGTGAATTCCAAGTGATAGTAAAATACTAACAGTACTATCTTTCCACAGACAGTTTCCCAGCTCCACCGAGCTGCTTCAGTCACTGGACATTTATCTGTCGTACAACAGGAAGACTTCAGGGCAGAAGGCATTGCCAGTTGAACTGCTTGCCGAAATGTATCCACTGCTGCAGTCCACCTTCAGTTCCCCTCTCCGACTGAACCGCATTCTCGCACTGCACATTGTCACCCTCTTTGAGCTGCCTCTACCTGCTGAAGCCAACGGAGAGTCGGTCTTTTCCATCTGCCTTGAAGCCGAGCTCACCGAGCCTGAACTGGCTACCTATCGAGAACGGCTGAGACATGTACGGAAGCTGGAGTGCAATCTGGTGGCCTGTCACATTCCTCATTCACTGGAGAACGTCGACTTTGACTTTGAATCCGCTTCAGTATACTACCTCCTTGGATCGCTCTACGAAAATCTAAGCCTCCTGTGGAAGCCTACCATTGAAGTGCTGGCCACCTATGCGCCACTGCAGTCTACTGCCAAAGATAACAAACGACCGCTGTTGACGGTGCTCTTTGAACATCTGAAGACGACTGATGAGTTCATTCGATCAACGACGGCTACAGCAGAGTCGAGCCATCCAGTGAATGTCTATGAACAGCTGTTTGACGTTAAAAGTAGATCAAAACTAATGAGCGGTCTTTCCAGCTCTCCGGATCACTACAACCACCGAATACTGCTGCTGAATGCCTTTGAGAGCTTCTCCACTGCCGTTGAACCGCGGAATCGTGAATTTGTAGATCGCTTCTTTGAGTTTGTGCAGCAGGAGATGAAATCACGCTTTGTCTACATCTCCTCCTGTAGGGAGAACTTGAGGAGCAGAAGTGAGGAAGTGGAAAATGAAGAGGAGAATGAAGAGGAAGAGGGTGAGCAAGAAGAAGCTGTTGCTGTTGCCGACTCAAAGGGCGACCTAAAGTTCCAGTGGAAGACCTTTTTCGCCTATCTTTCCGTTTTTGGGAAGTTTAAGAACCCCAAGGCACTGTACCGAGAAGTGGAGCTGACGGCAATGTACATGAACCTACTCGTTTCACCGAATGGCGGCCTGCAGCGACATGCCATGAAGTGCCTCTTCACCTACGGCCACTCGTACATCAACAAGTACCGGGAGCAGCTGCTGCGGCTGCTGGAGGAGAAGACCTTCAGCTCGGAGATCTACCGCTTTGTCCAGCACGACACCGAGGAGGACAATGTGATCAGCGAGGACGACCGCCCCCTGCTGATGCCCATCTTTCTCCGTCTGCTCTACGGAAAGCTGCTCAGCAGTTCGGGAAACAAGGTGCACGGCAAGAACAAGGGTGAATACCTCCGCTCGACCATTCTCAAAGTCATCTCTGGCTTCGACGAGTCCGATCAGCTGGCCTTTATGGAGCTCATCTACGTCGCACTGAAGCCGCTCATTGAGGCGGAGTACGGCGAGCTGCTGCCGACCAAGGTGGCCGCCTTTGTGGACGTGGGCGCCTTCTTCGTGCCCTTTCGCCAGTTCAACTCGCTGATCTCCACGCTGGAGTGCCTGATGAAGCACTTCGGCGGACGCAGTCTGTCGGTGAAGCGCCTCATGCTGAAGGTGCTGGTGGTGTGCAGCGCAGTGGCCAATCAACTGCTGGCGGCGCCCAATCGGCTGCAGCTGAAGCCGTACCTGGTGGGTCAGCTGAAGGCGTACCGCACCAGCTGCTACAAGGTGGCGCAGCACTTCTTCCTCAACTTTGACCACTACCCCTTCACCGCAGAGGAGGTGGACGCTCTCTTTGCCGTGCTTGTCCAGCCCATGGTGGGCAACCTGTCGACGGAGTCACTCGACTCGCCGACGCCCATGCTCCGTCTGCTGGGCACCTGGAGTGAGAATGCCCGCTACTACGTCCTGCTGGCCAAGCAGGTGGACGGCACCTCTTCCCTGACGCCGCTGCTTTCCATTCTTCAGCTGTACTCACACCCGAAAGTGTCCGCCAGTACGGTGGCCTTCATCAGCGGCATCATCGAGAACCTGCTCACGCTGGACGGGGAGAAGGTGGCGGCCAAAGAGGCCACCGTCGGACCGGCCATTGAGGTGAACAACTTTGGAAGGCAGCTGGCGGAGGTTGAGCTCGCGAAGGAGGAGGCCACCGTCAGCTTCGGCGCACGTCTGCTCATACCGCACCTGAAGACGATCCTCGACCGAATCTACGCCAACTACGCGGGAAAGATTGCCAACAACTCCAAGTTTGAGTTCACCCTCCAGGAGGTGAACATACTCGCACGACTGAGCTTCTTCGTGAAGGACGCCACCGACTCGGCCTCCTTCTCCACACTGCTGCTCTACTCCATCTCGCAGGTTCGTCGCCCGGAGGAGGACAAGGAGGTGTTCACGTTGAAGACGCTCAATCACCTGGCGAAGAACTTGAACGACGAGAAGGACATTCGGCGGATGCTTCACCTGAGCTTTCCGCTCTTTCAACTGATCAGTCGGCCGCTGTCTCGCCGCGAGCTGTGCACCTTTGTGGGCACACTGTGCATGAAGAACAGCCAATTAAAGCCGATGCTGGCGCTGATCACGGAGATCAACTCGTACGACGTTCGCCAGCCAGAGGAGCCCGACTACAACCGGCGGATTGGCGGCTTTAAGGCGATACTGCAGCTGCTGGAGAACGACTTTGACCAGAGCAACCTCCACCACATGGACTTTGTGCACCTGCTGCTGGAGAACTGCGCCTTCATGCTGAACACCTACGATGACCTCAGTCTGCGGGACCTCTCCTCCACCGTCCTGGTGAAGGTGTGCCACCTGCTGGCGAACTGCAGTCAGGCGCTCTTTGATCGCTACGTCATGGGCATCATCTTCTACCGACTGATCAGCGGCGGCCTCCGCCAGCCGAAGGAGTCCACCCGACACGAGTACATTGGCGTTCTCGTGGAGGCGGCGCGAATCTTCAGCGACCGCCATGAGGTGGTCAGGCAGCTGCGGTCGCTCTCCGCCGAGGAGGCCAAGAACGAGGAGCTCGACTTTTGGCTGAACATCAAGCACATTCAGCTGCACCGACGGGCGAGGGCCCTGAACCGACTGGCGGCGGATGCTGAGTTGCTGGGGTCGCTCTCCAGCCGAGTCTTCACCAGCTTTCTCATTCCACTGGCGAACAGCTTCATCGTCGAGCCGACGCACTACGCAAAGAATGTGGCCCTCTTTGGGGCGGCCGTCGAGTCACTGGCCTCCTTTCTGCAGCACTGCTCCTGGTCAAAGTACGACAGTACGCTCTCCTCGTACATCCACCGCCTGCTGAGCAATAAGCTGGAGCCGAAGATTGCCATTCGCATCATCTCGGCGATGCTGGCCAAGTTTAGCTTCCTCAAACCGGCTGAGGTGGAGCAGATTGAAAAGGACCTGAAGGCGGACGATCTGAAAAATATGTCTCTCGAGTACAGTGTCGCCTGGAAGAAGTCCAAAGGAGGAAAGGGAAAGAATGAAAAGGGTGGCAAGTTTGGAAAAGGGAAGAAAAAGGGCGCGGATAAAAAGTTTGCTGCTGATGAAGTGACGAAGCAGACGACGAAAGAGATTGTTGATGAAGCTCAGAAAGCAGATGAGTCGATTATTGAAGAGGCGGTTGAGAAGGAAGAGCCTGCTGAGGACATGGAAGAAGGGGAAGATGGTACTGAGGAGGAGCAGTCTGGCGATCGTCTGGCGCAGGCTCGCAAAATCTACCAGTCCCTCTGTCGGAAGCTGCTGCCCCTGCTGCATCGATGTCTCCACCAGCGGGCGCAGATTGAGTACGCCAACGATGCGAGGGACTTCAAGGACGAGGAGTTTGTCGAGGACAAGGAGATTCAGCGCATTCCCATTGCGCTGGCCATCGTCAAGCTGCTCTCACACGTGCGCATCAATGAGCAGCTCTTCAACGCCAATGTGACGAGCATCTTCCTCCGACTGTGTCAGTTTCTGCAGTCCCGAGCGACGAGCATTCGCGAGGCCTCGCGGAGCACTCTGGTCCAGGTGATGCAGACGCTGGGACCGAAGTACTTTGGGGAAATCTTCTATGAGATGCGGTCGCTGCTCACCCGCGGCTACCAGAAGCACATCTTCATCTTCACGGTGTACGCCCTGCTGAACAGCCTCCGTGACCAGCTGAAGTACGGCGACCTGGACCGGGTGCTGGGCGACGTCATCTCACTGTGCCACCAGGAGATGTTTGGCGCCCTCGCCGAGGAGAAGGAGGTGACGCACATTACCACCAAGACAAAGGAGGCGAAGAAGCTGAAGAGCTACGATATTTACGAAATTCTGGCGCAGTTTGTCTCGCAGGCGGCCCTCACCGGACTGCTGACACCGCTGAAGGAGGTGCTGACGTCGACGGGCAGTCACACGGTGGTGAAGAAGACGGAGACGGCTTTTGAGAAGATCTGCCGTGGTCTGGTGGGTAATCGCAGCCTCACAGTGCAATCACTGGTGCCCGTTCTCCTGCAAATTATGGCCACCGCGGAGGCGGCTGTCGTTGGAGCTTCGACTGCTGCTGATGCCTCTGCCTCTGCCGCCGATGAGAGCGGCAAAATTCAACGCCTTGCAGAGAAGCTGCCCAGCAAGGTGGACAGCTACCTGATACCGGCAAAGTCACTGCGACGAGTCCACCAAACGGCCAGGTTGAACCGTTCCTCTAATCTGCACGTGATGGCCGACTTTGCGCTGACCACCGTCCTTCACCTGATCAAGCAGAACCGACTGGTGACGGTGGAGGAGAGCCACCGGGCGATGCTCGAGCCGATGGTCGACCAGTTGGCCACCTTTCTCCACTCGAAGGACACCAAGGTGATCACCAGCTCGATGAAGGTACTGCACAGTCTCCTGGTCAAGTTTCCTGATCTGCAAAGCTTCAGGGCCACCACGCAGACGATCATCTCGCAGATCTTTGTGCTGCTGCGCAAGTACTCCGGTCTGGCGGCGAACGAGGGCAGTCAACTGGTGACGCTGTGCTTCAAGACCATTGCCCACTTTGCCAACAACCGAGCGGACTGTAAGCTGAACGACGATGAGCTGGCCGTCCTCCTTTCCTACGCGGAGAGCGACATTGAGAGCAACAGTCAGAATGCGACCATCTACCTGCTGCTGAAGGCGATCATCAGGCGGAAGTTCGCCTCGAAGGAGCTGCACCGCCTCATGGAGCGCCTGCTCGTGCTGGCCATCACCACGGAGATTGACCACGTGCGGTCGCACGCGGTGGAGCTGACGATCAAGTACCTGACGGAGTATCCCATTGACGGGAACCGCTTCAAGGGCAAGATGGTGAAGCTGGTCCGCCAGCTGGAGTTCAGCAATCTCAGCGGCCGACTGGCGGCCATCACCATCCTCAAAAGCGTCATTGGCATGCTCGACGCGAAGACGCTCTCGCCCCTCAAGGTGACGCTCTTTGTGCCCATCGCCTCGCGCATCGTCAACGAGGAGTCCACCGAGTGTAAGCGGCTCATCTCCGCCACGGTGCTCACCATTCTGGGCAAGCTGGAGCTGGCCGATCGTGATAACCTCTTTGAGACGTTCATCGAGCCCTGGCTCACCTGTGATGACATTCT